CCATGAACATCACACAAGGACAAAAAAGGTATACAGAAAAATCCCTAAAACGACCCTGCAAGGATTCGAATCTTCTTAAATACTCACTCTTTATAGTAGGCACGACGTAATAGTTGTTGTGCGCGGACGCATCGCTCTGAAGACTCATGCCCAGTCGCCTGACTCGAAGCACTTCCGCGAATACGAACCCCATGAACCTGGACATAAGGTACAAATTCGATTAACAACAAATTAAGCAACAGTCGTGACAGTTAAAATGTGGTTTTCGCTAGATAAAGGCTGCCAACGCTGGAGAAACGGGATTTCAGCGAACATTTTTTCTAAAATTCTTAATTCCATTAAAAAACAATATACAACGTTCAGATTAAATAAGATACAATAAGTTTTTTCTTCTTCGAAATAGAGATCAGAATCACTGGATGACATTTGTGTGTCAGTTTTCAAGATTATTTCACTGTTTTGTACAATAAAACAATCACTGAACCAGTCACCACTTTTCTGAAGCACTATTTCTCATAAACATCCACGATTTCATTCACGTAAAATCTGAAATATGTCACATAATAATGCCTCTGAACTGTCAAATAGTTTCAAAATTTTATACTACCGTTTTGTCGGCGTGATTAATATACATACCTCCACAAAATTACAGCTCTCTAGTGCCAGTAGTTTCTAAGTAAACCCTCGGATAGACAGACAGACATATCGAAACTATAAGGGTTCCTTGTCAGGACTACGGAACCCTAAAAACGTTTCTGTTTGTAACATCTCGCTCGCTCAGTTATTTGTTGCTCTATTCCGTTATTATTATTAACCTTATGGGACGAAATGAATGATAGTATTCAATCTAGTACAGCAGGCCGCTACCAATCGATCAACATGGAAAGCATTGGGGGAGGCCTATGTTCAGCAGTGGACGTCCTATGGCTGAAATGATAATGATGATGATGAATCTAAAGCCTGGTCCGTGAGCACGTAGAATCCCGTCCAATGACCCCAAGCTGCCCATCCTTATCGCTCGCGCGTAATTATGTTGCTGTCGCGCTCGCACACTCACTGCGGGCGCCCGTCGCACAGTCGCGACAGCAATATAATTACGCGCGAGCGATAAGGATGGGTAGCTTGGGGTCATTGGACGGGATTCTACGTGCTCACGAACCAGGCTTTAGTACAAGTTACCTCCTCACAAGGCGTCCGCGTCGTGGCGACAACCGGACGTCCGCGTCCGGTACGTGCTCCACGGACACCCGGACTTCCCCGGACCGGGTGTACACGGGAAACGCAGGGATCTGGAGACTGAGAACAAAGATTTTTAATTTGTCAGTATTATAATTAGTCTCTTCTCGAGAGCTCGACTTTCATTCGTTACACATCGAGCGGTTTCGCACTACGTCTGAACGGTTTGATCCGAACCCATGAAAATATTTATTTATTCTTTCATGCCATATAGTTGGTACATAAGGCCACAGAATAATAATAAGTACTACGTACAGAAGTTTTACTTCACGAAGGTATTTAAAAAAATGTATGCTCAATGTCATTAACAATATCGTGTAATTTAGCCTGTCTCAAGAGTCAAGCACCATTTTGTTGACAAACGTCAGTGATCGGCACTGCGCCGAAGCTATAGGGCTGACTTCGATAAAATGATGTGACGTGAGGTGCCAAACTGCGGAAAATGGCGAAGGAAATACATGATTTGATTTAGCATGAATTATCATGAATAATATTAACTACTTATTTACCTCTCAGTGTCTTGAGGCAACTTAAAAAAGTACATTTTGTGTTTTTATTATTATTTAGGCAGTTCAATATATTCTTCTTTTCTTCCATCATACACAAGTATACGCGTGCGTGAGTCAATGTTCGCTCGTATGTGAGGCCTTGTCGAATAGTATCCTGTAGGTGGGCCATCGTGCGTGTTTTGTTTTCGATGTAAACTCGCGGAGATGAACAGGCCTGATAAGGCGAACTTAAAGCCACTGGATTTTCTCTGTCAGTTAACCTTATACCTAACTAAGGTCCGGAGTAGTCGTAGTACCGACGTTATTTGAACATAGGCGGTACGAAGTTCGCCGGGTCAGCTATATACTTACTCTTCTGGTTCATCCCTCGCCATAAGTATCCCTATAGCCTGGCTAGCGTTTTGCGGCGCGTGCAGTCTTCTTCCCCTCGTGTTGTATCGTTCAGGAAGCGCGCACCATAGCTTTGACACTATGGCGTACAGCATGTTGCGTTTGGTTCCTGAAATAATACGGTAAAATTAATATTCTTGACTAAGATGGTAAAACATTTTTACAAAATGTTTTTGTAGAGTACAGGGTTTTGTTCCAACCCTGTAGAAAGAAAGAAAGAAAGAAAAATATTTATTTGACAACAACAATAGTAGAAAATAGATAAATTCTTATCATTTAGATCACAAACATCAAAAAGGAGAAAGAAAAAAGGAGAAAATAATAATAAAGTTGTCAAAAAGGTTACTCACTCAGTAACGTCTTGGCCCGTTGACCAAGACACTGATTTTCAGTGGGCGCCTTTTTGTACGTAGGGGCATTCAATTATACAAAATAAACAACAACAAAAAATTGCATTAAACAATTATAAATTAAAATTAGTCAAAATAAAAAGAAATCAAAAAAATAAAAAATTGGAGTAAAAAAAAATTACATAATAATACTAATAAAAATAACAATCATCATCAACACAAAAATAAAATACAATTTACAATTAAAAATAAAATACTGTAGAGTACAGTATGGGCCAAAAATGTTTTCAAATCGCAAGGCTTGATTTCTCGAAAACAGTTCAGGACAAGGACGCGTGATAACTGTGCATTATTTCATGATTTTCTAGTCGACATAAAACGACATCATGTTTTTTGTGTATAATATGCTGCAGATATACAGGGTGTTACTTTGCATTCTTGCCATATTTACAGAGGTTATTATATTACTGATACTGAACACAAATCCGTAAAAAAATAATGCCCGAATTTTTTTTTTTAATCTTGAGTATTTTATTTTATCGACAACCTGTTAAACACACCACTAATTATCGTAACGCATGCACATCACTTGTTGGCGATGGCGATGGAGACTTTTTTACTTTTTATTGTATTTTTAAATATCTATTGCAATCTATTGTCTTTAAAATGTCTTTTTGACACTTGTAAATAACTGAGAAATCCATCAATCACAAATCACGTTATAAATAATACAAAAAATGACTGAAGTGTATTCAAATAACGAATAATTTAATCAAAATGGTGCTTGGAGTGTCTGCAAGACGTCTTAGACGAAATGCTTGATGACGTACCCTTAGCGTTACACTAAATGCTCTACTACCAGCAGGATGGTGCTCCCCCACAATAAGGACGTCAAGTGTGCGAATAATACGTTTGGTGAACAGTGGATTGGACGAGGGGTCGAGTAGCTTAGCCACCATGATCCTCGGACCTGACACCAATGGATGACTTGAATCGACTGGTATGCGCAGAAGAGATAAACAGTGTAAACGCGTTACATGAAAGGATTGTTTTAGTGAAACTGTGATACAAAACGTTTATGTGTTGCGAAAACTAAAGCGAAAAACCTACGCTTCGCCGTGCTAGACTGTGCCTTCATCAGAACGGAGGACACTTTGAACACTTGCTTCGCAGTACGTAAACTTTGTAAGTAGGAACTTATAAATAAATAATTAATTGTGAATAAGGTGATTTCATTTCATACTTAATTTATTAATTTGTAAAAATAGGGTACAATGTTGTAAATTAATTGAAACCCTATTAATTATTACGTATTTTTGACGGTCCTAAGCCCGTAAAGTAGAAAGGAAAATCTGAAATCAACTGAAGAGTATTTTAAAATAGTTATTATGACTGGATAAAAAGGCTGGTACCCAAAGCCATAAAATTAAGAACTAGGCCACGCCCACTAGGTTTATTCCACTTGCACCTGTAGAACGTGCGAGACAAAATTGGTTTATTCCAATTTGTACTGAAAAACCAAATTTACTAAAATCTTAGTGTACTTTCTTTATGGGAGTCTCTTGTTTATCTTAAATAATAGGTATTGTTACCTACTTTTATCTCTGTGAATATGGCAAGAATGCAAAGTAACACGGTGTATAAATAAATAAGAATTTATGTTCGTTAGTCTGATTAAAACTCGAGAACGGCTGGGCCGATTGAGCTGATTTTGGTGTTAAAATGTTTGTCGTAGTCCGGTGTAGGTCTAAACGGTAAGCAAATAAGGAAAGATTTGCTTATTTATTGCCTTTAAGGCGGAACAGAGTTCGCCGGGTCAGCTACTCAATAATAAAAAGGACGAACTTCAGTAAAAAATACACAATACCAAGTACCTTTTTTGGCTTCGTTCTTGTTCTTCGCAGGTTTCTTCTCAGCAGCGGGATCTATTTCCGAGTCACTCGTATCCACCACAGGCTGGCAATCCGTGAACGCAGACGCCGTCTAGGGACAAACAGACATACAGGGTGGCATTACAATAATAATCCTACTTCCTACTAATATTATAAATGCGAAAGTTTGGATGTCATGATGTCTGGATGTTTGGATGTCTGGATGTTTGTTACTCTTTCACGCAAAAACTACTGAACGGATTTTGTTGAAACAGTATTACTGTTTATTACCCAGATTAACATATAGGCTATAATGTATGACGATCTGTGACATATTAAATTTCACGCGAGTGAAACTGCGGGCAAAAGCTAGTGTAACAATATGACTTTATCGTAATTATTTTTAATCGTAATATTTTTGGAAAAACATGCACTTTAAAATTTAATACGCGGGCGCCATAATGTCTATTACTATTAAGCGTTGCAATTGACTGTTGTGGAAATATTTAATACATTTTTCTTCTTTTTCTACTTTTGTTTACTGGGAATCAAACCTCATTAAGAGCGTTTACGCCGTTTGGCGCAAAAACAGTACTTTTTCAACTCGTTACAATCATTAACCAGTAATACTACAAATATGTTATAGGCATAAATAGTTAGACAATTTTGTCGTCTAAATAATTAATTGAGAAAATGTTGCGATTAGTTTAACATTTAAGAATTCTATCCAGATAAGTCCACACAGGTTTTGTAAATTTCCACTTTAGCGTCAGTTTACAAGCTGAAATTTTTATAAAAACACTGTGAAAACGATTTAACAAACATATATATCCTATAGCATAGATCCTTGGGCAAATAGTTATCTGAGAAATTTTTTAGATTTAAGCATTTTACACTAAGAAATCACAAATTAAAAGAACGTGAAATACGCAAAAATCAAAGTGATTTTTTCACCAATATTCTTCCTTTATTCAACACAAAAATAGCTTAATATAATAGAAGAATATCTTATCTAAAATATTTACTTTGAAATTTAAAATAATTCATTGTAATTTTTTTTCTATGAGTATTTGAAAACTACTATAAATCGCCGCGCACGAATCGTTCAAATTCAGTCTAACTTAAGCGGTTTAGATTTTTCATACAAAAGGATTTTCCCGGTAATTCCTGTTCTTGTGGTAGTTTCGGGAATTCCTTTCTTAGTGCACCTCTACGGTACCTAAGCTACGTTCCTTATAAATTTCAAGTGCCTACGTTTTGCCGTTTAGGCTGTGCGTGGGTATGTCAGTGAGTCAGTCATACAAAAGGAATTCCCCGATAATTCCAGTTCCCGTGGGAATTTTGCAATATCCGGTTGTAACTAAGCTTTAAGTTTACTAAGGTACCTGCATGCCAAATTTTAAGCGTCTAACTTACGCGGTTTAGATTTTTTCATACAAATTTTTTTTCTCGCTAACTCCCGTTCCCGTGAGAATTTTGCAATATCCTGTTGTAACTAAGCTTTAAATTTACTAAGGTACCTGCATGCCAAATTTCAAGCGTCTATCTTACGTGGCTTAGATTTTTTTATACAAATGTTTTTTCTCGCTAATTCCCGTTCCCGTAGGAATTTTGCAATATCCTGTTATAACTAAGCTTTAAGTTTACTAAGGTACCTGCATGCCAAATTTCAAGCGTCTAACTTAAGCGGTTTAGATTTTTCATACAAAAGGATTTTCCCGCTAATGCCCGTTCCCGTGGGAATTCCTAAGTATCCTATAACCTGCCCAGGAGTATGAAGAATAATTGTACCAAGTTTCGTTAAAATCCGTCGAGTAGTTTTTGTTTCTATAAGGAACATACAGACAGACAGACAGACAGACAGACAGACAGACAGACAGACAAAATTTTTTCTGATTGCATTTTTGGCATCAGTATCGATCACTAATCACCCCCTGATAGTTATTTTGAAAATATATTTCATGTACAGAATTGACCTCTCTACAGATTTATTATAAGTATAGATTATGGAGTCGGTGTTGGAAGATTTGAAGATTTTATAGTTTCCTTGAGCTGTCACTTGACAGCCTGGCATACTTTTACGATGGTGGATCAAAGTATTTTGGTTTGACTATAGAGCGCGAGAACACGCACACAGTCATAATTATTTTAGTGTGAATAAAACTAGCATCGAAATTACCTAAACTTGACATGCCACGCTAGACGTAAACGCTCTTAAGAAGTAAAGTGAATATTGAATAAATCAAGACAAGACGTATTCCCTTGCAAGACGCCAGCGGATCTGAAGCGGGTTGTTTACACGAAAACCTGCTTGGCACTCGATTCGCGTCTATTTCTAAAGATTTAACTACACCAAAGACAGGTCATGCGACCTGTCATCGGCCTATAATCGCGCCAGCGACAGCGATCTGCCCCCCTAGACAAAACGGACTTTTTGATCGAATCGAAAATCGAATCCGTCAAAACTCCATACAAAAAAGGGGCATTTCGACCACTTTTCGACTGGTTTGCGATTATAATTTGCACTTTGTCTAGACCCACTGCACGCGTTGGTGTGGTTGAAGCCTTAATGTTTTTACAAATTACTTCATTACACTTAAGAATACAATATTACACCAGATTTCTAAACTAAAATCCATTAAACTACCCTCCACGGAATCAGACAGTTTCACAAGGTAATCAATATCATGATGTCAGTCGTATGACACATGTCAATCGAAGTCCGGCAACGTGACATCATGATACATCGTGGTAGCTAGCAAGGCGGACTTAGAACAGCCCTGCCACCAACCAAACCGAACAGAAAATTTGCCCCCACTGGGAATCGACCCCGAGGCCGCTGGGTCTGAGATAGATGATCTTACCACTAGACTATAGAGCAGCGGTTCCCAAACTTGTTTTGTCTACTGCCCACTTTGAGAATAAATTCTTTTTAGCGCCCCCCATTTGTAGTCGAGAGTCGAGTGCTCAGTCGGTGTCTAAAAGTCCTCCTAGTAAATGACGTCTCCCAAGCCTCTACACAACGCCCGATTTTTTTTCTGGGTCTCTTACCGCCCCCCTTTAAGCCTGCAGCGCCCACAAGGGGGCGTTATCGCCCACTTTGGGAAAGACTGCTATAGAGCAAGGCTGGCCCAATAGATTTTTCAGATGAGCATTAAACTGTGGTGACGCCGTGTCACAGCATTTTGAAAATCAAAGAAAAACCAAAACTATACTAAATTCATAATTCCATTTATACCAGCCTTGCCAAAGAGGATCAAAATTAAGACTATACTCACCCGTTTGAAGTAGTACTGCCTTCGTTTAGTAGTTCCAGGACGAGCGTCACCGTTGTCTGTTAACTCACCCAACAGTGGGTTTGGGGCTTCCAAGTCAGCTGCTTTGAAGTTCTCCTTGCCTGAAATTGTGGACAATATTATCCTCAGCGTGAAATTCTGTGTTTTTGAGGAAGCTGTATCTTAAAATTATGGTCAACTAGCTGTGCCCGCGACTTCGTGCGCTTGAAAATGGTTTGAATAATATTTCCCGTTTTTGCAACATTTTTCTTTACTGCTCCGCCCCTGTTGGCTGTAGGGTGATGTTATATAGCCTAAAGCCTTCCTCGATAAATGGGCTATCCAACACAAAAAGATATTTACAAATCAGACCAGTAGTTCCAGAACTAATCTCTGGAGAATAGCTCGAGCGTGACAGAAGTTCACTCTTATATAAGTAAAAGCATTAATAAAAATCAAACGTGGTCGCGCCAAGCAAAGGGCTCAAAAGATAAGGAGACATGTAAAGTGCCCCATAAGGGCTACCTTTTCTTTTTTTATTATTTTCTATTGACGTTCATAAGTGCCACTTGTGGTCTAAACTGAATAAATATTTTTGATTTTGATTTTCAAACTTGGAGGCGCACTGTGGCAGACGAGGCGAAGAAGATCGGCAAGACTTGGAGCGAGATCAAACGCGAAGCTCAAGACCGAACGCGATGGAGGACTGTTGTGGACGACCTCTGCCCCATCTATAGTCTGGTCTGTGAGCACGTAGAATTTTGTCCAATGACCCCAAGCTACCCATCCTTATCGCTCGCGCGTAATTATGTTGCTGTCGCGCTCGCACACTCACTGCGGGCGCCCGTCGCACAGTCGCGACAGCAATATAATTACGCGCGAGCGATAAGGATGGGTAGCTTGGGGTCATTGGACAAAATTCTACGTGCTCACAGACCGGGCTTTAGGGGACATAGGACTATAATTCAAGTAAGTCATTAATAAAAATAAATAATTAAACATTACCTATGGGCATTAGCTGGTTGTCCAGTTCCCCGGACTTGTGTAGAATGCGGCACGCTTGAAGCGCCACCATACGGCGCGCTAGCACTCGGCTCGGCATCGGGTGGCCCTTGAGGATACACAGAAGTATATTTATGTAATTTATTTAATAGGACATCTACCAAGACATACACTAAAAATAATATTTAGAAAAAAAATAAAGAAAGAAACATTTATTACGATGAACATCACTTATACATGACAGAGAACGTATACAGAAAAAAAGACAGAAATAGCACATAAATATTACAAGGAAATAAAAAGTGAACTGAGCAGTGCCAGGCCTGTTCATCTCCGCGAGTTTACATCGAAAACAAAACACGCACGATGGCCCACCTACAGGATACTATTGGACAAGGCCTCACATACGAGCGAACATTGACTCACGCACGCGTATTCTTGTGTATGATGGAAGAAAATAAAGAAAATGGTGTACTAAATACTGTGCAGTATTTAACTGCCTAAATAATANTACTGTTGACCAGTGTAATAATAAGCCATAATGCGTAGCATTCCACGCATAAGAATAATATTTTTACATGATTCATTCAAATGAATACATACATAAAATTGACTTCATGGTTGATTACAACATTCCCGATTTCAGGGGTTTAATCTATTTCGTAATATAAGCTAGTAACTAAAGTAAATTGGCACGTGCTTTTATTATAGTCTCTTCGCCAAATAGAAGTCGACTTTATTTAATTTGGGTACAGACCTAAATTAGTCTTTATCCAAATGATAAAGAGAGCTTGAGTTATTAGTTATTTCATTCTGATACTCGCCTTAAATGATTGAAAATAAATAAAATCAATTTCACACAAAATATTTTTGAAGAGCTTCTAACTGCTTTAGTATCTTTAAATCATTCAGTGTTTATTTAATGTATGTAACACAAAATTATATTTACTAACTACAAATTTAAAAATATTATAAATGATTTTATACAAATGCCTTACGGCCCTATTTTTGTATATTATCTTCGTTGTCAATTAAGTGATATTGTAAATCATTGAAACATATCACTTGAGCACATTATTCCTTAAAAAAGTATTTTAATTAAGTACTCATCTCCTCAGCTGGGTTTTGTAAATATTTTTATAAGATTGTATTGTAAATACCGCACACAGACCCTTGTCTAAGAATGATAGGTACTACGTTATTAAAGGTGCAAGTGTGCTAAGTTGGATAATCTATTAAATATTACTGAATACAAGGGGGAAGTTGCAGTCCCAATTTGAGAATGGCGAAATCGAATTATTTCCAATGCACACGGGTCTCTTAAGACATTTTTCAACATACTTGTGAGGAAAACTATGATAAAAACAGTTCTTTCAGAGTCACTTTACTAACAAATGTGTTGAAAAATATAAAATGCTATTGTTTTTCGTTACATAATTCTATTAAAATATAGGTAAATAAGGTATAGCTATATTCCTGATCGTTATATTTAAAAAATCAGTTATAAGACGTCTCTGACCTATTAGTATAGTAAAATTTATTTTATTTTTAAAATTATAGCGTCTATGTATCTTTTTAGAAAAAATGGATAAGTTATAAATGATATTATATTGGAATTAATATACTTCAAAATATATTATGAATCCAGTGTCTTTTAAATCTATATTACTTTACTATATTCAATCGATATACATATAAACACATAAAAGAGAATGGAAATAGTACTAGTATTTATTGAAATTATAATAACAACCCCACTACAGCAGATAATATAATGTATTTTAATCAGTGAGTATACATAATATATTATAAATATAATTCTTGTGGTTGTTACCTGTTACTAATGGTTGTTAAGTCATTTCGACTGCTTTTATACGTCGTCTTTACATATTTCCTGTTACTCTATCGGCTTATAGGATAAGTGTCGTGCAGTTGAGAAGCGCAAAGCCAATTTTATGAGAGTTGATTAAGATAGAGCATATCTTTAATGAGATCGTTGTAAGGACTGTTTCAGTAGCTTAGTTTCCCTGTAACGACGAGCTCGTCAGTATTAGAGTAAATGTTACTATTTGAGACTTAAAGCCGTTATAGACTGGCGCGTTTACACCGCGTATTAGGTCGTTTTTGCAATCTTCTTCCTAACGTAACCCGCATAAAGCCTAAAATTATCTTCAATGATGTCAAACTAATTAATTAATTGGAATCACATTCGCATTGTCTGTTACAGATATAATATTATTTACCTTAAACGAACTATATTTTAATATTCAGTTACTGTAACAAGAGCTTCATAATACAAGACTGAAGACGTAGTTTTGAATGATTAGGAATTCAGAGAACATTTTCTTTACAATGCGCATTTTTCGCGAATTGCTTCTGATTCTTCAGAAAATCTACGATTCTATGGAAATTAGAACAGTTTTAGGGTTACATATTTTTTTTTTTTTTTTTAAAAGATTATTAGCAATTTGTATTGCCCAAATTACTAATAGTCCCGTTAGCCCCTCGTGGTAAGCTAAATAAGCTTGTGTTACGAGTGGGCTCACCACAATAGTCGAGCGGCGGTGGGATTCGAACCCGCGTTCCTCGTATCTCGAGTCGGCCACTCCGACCCCTTCACCGTTCGGCTATCGTGGCTAAAGCTAAAAATTTAACCATTATCTATACGACTATACGCCAACGCAGTTTATAACGGCCTTTAGAACATTTTATGCTGGACGCGACAGGGCCTCGGTTCTCCAGCTGTCCACCACGTCTGATGTAACCTAAAGTGATTTCAAGTGAGAATAGTTTTGTCTGTAAGTCTTTTCTACATCCTTTTCTATGTCATTTAATGTTAGTGTTAAAATGAATGTGCTCCTCTAAATGTGATTTGAGACTGTCACTGATTTTAAAAAATATGAAGGCAGAGTCTTAGGGACCTTCTAATAAAACGGCAGTGAGACCTTCTCAAAATAAGTTACGAAAAAAATGCTGAAAATAAAATTGACAGTCTCAAATCAACATTTAGAAGATTATTTCTAGAGATAACATATGTAATTAAGGACGTACATTAGTCATGACTCGGATGTAAATGTGAAAGTAGGACCCTATCCTCGATGTCTCTCTAGTTTGACAGAAAACTGCATATGACGCCAAGTACTGGTGTCTAGAACTCTATAGCAATATAACAGATTCAATGTACGATTGCCTTGATCTGGAATAAAATTAGTTATTGTGGAATTAGGAAGTTTTCAGTACTCTTCACTTAGCTCACTTTATTGTGCACCTTTAAGGTTATTGATGCTGAAAATTAAATTATTATTAATTAAGTCCCGAACTAAATTGCTTAATTATGTTAATAACGTCTTCCCTGTCTAGCTGGTACTATCTTATTCCTTCAAAGTTTAGAAAGTAAGTTAATTCTATTGAATAGTCTTTATTTCTACCACATCATGAGACACTTATGAAATTATATTAACTACGCTTTGAAAGTCTCTTATGAATTATAATAAGAATATAAAATACGTAATGATCAATGTTAAAACTCTTTGAACTACCTCTTCACACAAATTCTAAATATTAAATAATAATTACGATGTTGTTGAATGTTATATTTATAAGAAAAACCAGCATTCTATCCCAATTAAGTATTATTTATTTAATATCACAATACGTACAAATATTCTCCATTAATATTACATTTACACCATAGTATTCACCCAATAACNATGATAATTCATGCTAAATCATGTATTTCCTCCACCATTTTCCGCAGTTTGGCACCTCACGTCACATCATTTTACCGAAGTGAGCCCAACAGCTTCGGCGCAGTGCCAATCACTGACGTTTGTCAACAAAATGGTGCTTGACTCTTGAGACAGGCTAAATTGCACCATATTGTTAATGACATTGAGCATACATTTTTTAATACTTTTGCGAAGTAAAACTTCTGTACGTAGTACTTATTATTATTCTGTGGCAGTGCTATCCTGTCGCAACAGCGATGCCCATCGCAATGAGACTCCACTCAGCATTTATGAGGTCGTCTGTCCACCTTGTATTAGTCTACGTACTCACCACGATGTTATACTTCACAGGACAATTCAGAGGCAGCCTGAGGGTGCAAATGAAGGCTTTCCCAGTAGGCAATTGGACCTCTTCTGTCTAAAGCCTGGTCTGTGAGCACGTAGAATTTCGTCCAAAGACCCCAAGCTACCCATCCTTATCGCTCGCGCGTATTTATGTTGCTGTCGCGCTCGCACACTCACTGCTGCCACCCGTCGCACAGTCGCGACAGCAATATAATTACGCGCGAGCGATAAGGATGGGTAGCTTGGGGTCATTGGACGAAATTCTAGCTGCTCGGCGACCGGACATTAGTCGCGATATAGTCTAAGTACTCACCACGATGTTATACTTGACAGGACAGTTGAGAGGCAGCCTGAGGGTGCAAATGAAGGCCCTCCCGGTTGGCAGTGTGACCTCCTCCGTCCACCACTGAGGTGCGAGACGAGTGAAGGTGTCTGACGGTAGCTTGCCGCAGTACCTATGGGTGATATTTAAATTATAGGTGTGTCAGATGGATGTAATCTAAGTGTGGAAAGATTATTCTACATTATGTAATACTAGTGGCCGTCCGCAACTTCGTACGCGTGGATCCCGTTTTACCCTATCAGGGGTGGAGTTTCGTAAAATCCTTTCTTAGCGGATGCCTACGTCATAACATCTACCTGCATGCCAAATTTCAGCCCGATCCGTCCAGTGGTTTGGGCTGTGCGTTGATAGATCACTATGTCAGTCAGTGACTCTTCTTTGAGTTAAGGCTCCCACAGACCAAACGCGGGTCAGAAGCAGTGCAGCTCAGTTGCAGCGCGGCTGAAGCACACTGAAAGCAGCGCAGTTTCAAAGCAGTTGCAACGCGGGCGGTTGTCAAAAAATTAAATATTCGAAAACCGCTTTCAACGCGCTGCTACCGCCCTGCGTCCGGTGTGTCATGCTAATATGGCCGCCATAGTAATACAACAGCTCGGGCCCGCGTTCGCGCCGCTTCTGTCCCGCCGTTCTAATTTGGTGTGACATACTTCAAAGAGTTTCTTGTATTACAACTTGCGTGGGCCTGCATTCAAACTGCGCTGCTACTGCCCTGCGTTTGGTCTGCCCAAGGCTTTATTGTATATTGAGATACATGAGGCCTGGTTCTAACAATAAAGTTAGCGGAATTGAGCAACAAAGAACTGAACGAGCGAGATGTCATTAGCAGCAACACTGTGATAAAAAGAGATGCGAGATAATGACGAATGCGGTGTGACAAGTGTGAGTGATTTAGTAAAAGTTGGGGATATAACATAGGTAGGTGTGAATCATGGGCTTGAGATTGTGTGTAACAAAAGTGTGTGACAAGGTATATACTGTGTAACACAGGTGAGCTATGACTTCTTCAATTTAATATGATATTATATCTGTTTCTGTCAATTACTTTTTCGTTCTACTATTATTAACAACGGAATCCATGGCAATATCAATTTAGTTTCTAAAACTCACCTATTTATCAACGCGATCGCCGAATTCAAATCAACACTAGCAATATCATCAACAGTCTTCTTACTATCATTTTCTAGCTTACTATCACTGTCGTTTTTAGCACTATCACTTATATTTACGACACACGGACACTCAACACTGACGCTCGTTTTCATATTACTACATCTATTGCAGAATAAATTATCCGTTCTTAAACTATCTTTTATATTTTCACACACCTTACTATCTTTTCCCGGACTATCATTTTCGTTTTCACAGTTCGAACAAATAATTTGAGTATCACAACCGTCTGTTTTCACTTTGGCATTTTCGCTTATTTTCAAATCGCTCAGTTTTTCCACACTACTATCAATTTCATTTTCACTTGAAACGTTAGTCCGTTGCACGCTTTCTATCGCCCTCATCAGACTATCATTCCCGTTTTCACATGTTTTAGCCTCTTTATGACTATCTTCTCTGTTTTCATTCTTTTTTTTATTTTCAAAGGGTTTTTCTTTGCCATTTTGTGTGGAGTTTTTAGTATCTTTGTTTTTATCACTATTATTGGCTTCGATGGTGATATTATCTTTGGATGTTGCTTCTTGGGGTGTATAAGGTTTGATAGCCAGGTTGAAAACATCGGCATGGTCTTCCTCGCTCTGAGGAGGTTCATCTTGAACGCCGCACCCGCATTTTCTGCTTATGATCTGGAAAAGACAAATGAATATTATTTTTGTGTTGTCAAAATTGATATTTTTTTGCCAAATCTTATTAATATAGGAATTAGAAAGAAACGCACTTGGATGCGGGCAATGTAGGATCGGTCGTTGTTTTTCCAGGACTTTGCGAGCCTTACTACGATTCAAATCATTCACGATTGGTAAAGCTCGCTTTAATCATCGTAAAAAACCGTTGTTGAACAAAGGCCTCCCCCAACAATTTTCATATTAGCCGGTTGGTAGAAACCTGCATCAAGCACTGTCCTGCAATCTTTATGAGGTCTGTCCACCTTGTAGATGGACGTCTCACGCTGCACTTGCCGGTACGTGACCTCCACTCCAGAACCTTGCTACCCCATCGGCCGTTAGTTCTGCGAGTAATGTGACCTGCTCACTTTAGCTTGCTAATCTGTCGGGCTATGTTCTACCTATACAGGGTGTCCCAAAATCAGCACGTCACACTGACACTGGAGGTAGCCGAGTCTAAGACGCATCGAAAGCTTAATATGTCCATAAAAAAGTTTCATAAGTTTTAAGATATGACCAATTTTATTTATTCATTTCCATAGAAAAGTATGATGAGTTTTGAAATATGACTCATATTAGTTATTTTTAAAAATGAACTTAATATTATAAGAAAAACCAGCATTCTATCCCAATTAAGTATTATTTATTTAATATCACAATACGTACAAATATTCTCCATTAATATTACATTTACACCATAGTATTCACCCAATAAAATTTACCAAGAACCTTAAAGACACTACCATAGTTTTCTACAACTACCCAATTACATAAAAATATTAACACAGCTACTTACAGTGCGACCGTCCTCGTCGAGCGCTCACCCAAGAATGACTCGATTCGCCATCTTGTCCCTTCCAACTCGATTGGCCACTTCCGGTGTTGCCAGTTAAAACCGACCAAAACTAACACTACACATTTAGAATTATTCATTTTAAATCACAATTATTCATTTTAAATCAATAAAACCTAACATTCGACCATCCTGACNTATTTAACTCGAGGGTTGCTCTCAACTCGAATATCATGTTGTAGGATAACTGAAAAAAATAACTCTTGCTGTAACCATATAAAACAAAAATATATTGTAACTTATACAAATCTGTACTAACTTGCCGAATATCTCTCAAAGGACTGTTAAATTAATAATGACTAATTATAAAAAGATGCTGCATTGATATTTTATGAAATTCAAAGAGTATGCTGTATTTTTTCTATTTAGGTACGTTATAAAGTACATATAATTGTAGGTCCTTCTTGATTAAATTGGTATTAAAATCATGCCAGAAAACAAATTATTCCTTGAAGTATTAAAATATAAGAGTTTCATGTAAGTAACTTAATTTTTAAACTAAATTCTGTTATTTAGAAATACCTTAATAGTTTTTTTATGAGCTTCTCGAAGCAATGTATAATTTATTTGTGGAATAGTTTGATGAAAACAATGTAGTTTAACAGGTTTGATTTATCAGTGCGGTTAAAATGCTTCTTTGGTGTCACCTCAGATCATAGTGATCTGAGGGTGTCACACACTAAGTATTTAATTAAATAATCATTTTCACGTTTGTTAAGTACTAGTTATACACGACACTATAAATGCAAGCGTTTGCATCAATGGCTGTGGAAAATGTATTTAACAAATGGACTCTATCAAATATTACCTAGAATCAGTTTTCTTCAAATCGAACTGTCTCAGAGCATGCATCCTTCAATATAAGGCTATGCATAGATTAAGAATTCAAATAAAAATATACTAATTCGTTATTTCACGTAAATTCTATAATGCATATTTAATAGAGTATTTTACTATATTCAGATATTTTAGTGATATTATTGGGTTAGTAGTGAAATTATCGAAAACTATATTTTTTGTATCATCAAATAGAAAATTATTTAATTATATTTTGTAACTATCCAATCAGTTATTAATTAGTGTAATAGTTTGTAGTATGTTTATTTGAGTAGCTCAAACTGAGGTGTAAGTTAAAGGTCTCCTCAGTGCTTACAGTAGCCAGTTGATGTGTTACGTACTGTTGTTGTTGATATTTGTTCCCCATCGATTGTTGTTCCCTTCACAATAAAGTTGTCATTGTAAAGTTACGATGGTTTTGTATTTTACCCTGTTCTGTTAAACTTTCTTTTGTTTTTAAAAAGAGATGTGTTTACAGGAGGATGATTTTGGAATTAATACTTGGGCATATTCAAATAGCCTCTTTTTTATCATCTTAAAATGTTGTATGTTATCGTTCACAAATGTAAGACTTCCTTTCAATGTGTAATCATTATTTATGACATGTGACGTATAAATAAATATTTGCAATGTGATCACATTGTTGCCGCAGTTCCATGCGTAGGCGCAGATGTCATCGGTCCTAATCTTAATTCAAATATTACAACATTACGGCTTGGCAACCATGACAGGCTGCAAGTAATATACTTTTAAAGACAGGCATATGAGCCGCCATAGACTATAGCTTAGTTTTGTATGTAGAGATAAACGAGAACGTTCGTATTCAGATTATTTATAGCTTTGTCTAAGCTATTATGACGACTGTATCAAATATATCACAGTTCGAAACTATTCTTAGATATTGCAGTAGATACATAAAGTGTAGGGTGTAAGAGGAAAACAAAAGCAGCTGAGTCAGATCTATATTCAAGAAATCTACAACACAGAACATCAAAAGGTTGAGCAAACTGTTTAACATCAGTTGGTCATAATCATAGTTTGGTTCGAGGTAGCGTATAAAATATTTATTCCATAAACACTTCAGGTAAAAATGGTCTGACGTCATCCTGGCACGATTATGGCCGAAGAGGATAATCTGATTGATAAATCACGTTCTTTAGTGTTTGGTGCAACATGATTCAGAATCTGAATCAGGATGGCGTAATTCAATATTTTTAACGCAGAATGACGTAGTCTTTTCTTATATTTTTATCACTTTGGTTCTCGTTTTTTTGGTAGCACATTGACATTGTCCGGTTCACACATTCAGCAGTTTCAGGAGAAGTTTTTGTTCTAGTGGGTCATCCCTTTTAAGTCAAGTTGAACTTGAAATTTTATGTTTTTCGGGTTTGAATATGTCTCTACATTTAAATTCGTCAATCATCCGACTAGCTCTATCTTAGTCTCATTTTCATTGGACGTTTTTGTGCAAAATTTAGTTTCGTTATGGTTGTGCATATTTGTATGGTGTCGCATATAAATGTTCATAAATGTTGTCGTGACAGCAACATACATCTACGTTTTTGCCCTTACATAGGCTGGCTTGGTATAACTGCCACATAAATAGGTACAATTAATAGTTTACGTAGTCGTTGTGACCATATAAGTATGGCGCCTTTGACTATAAATAGTGACGACCAGTGAAATAATATTTCACTTATGGCAAGTGCCCCCTAGACCGTAAGCCTCGTATATATCCATCTGCAGATATTAATATTTATATCATGAACTAGAAATCTACATAGAAGTCTTCATCTTTGCTTTGTGGTACTTTATCCACTTCAAGCAAAAAGATCAACATTTTTGCTACACGTCAGTAGCTGCCGCTTAACGTAGCGCCTACTGCCATTCACCCAAAATTGCCATTCACCCGTGGATTATCCCACGTCAACGGGTCTCTGTGGAGGCTATTTTCAGCCGTCACCCACAAGCAATTAGATCCAAATTCTTCTAAACTTCAGTGGTTGCCTGGGCATCGTTGAGCAGCGGCTTGCGTCCGCAGAAGCGACGGTTGTTCGTGCACGCGATGACCACCAGGCAGAGGCCTGACACCGCCACCCACAGGCCCCCTACGTAGAACGTCAGCTCCCATGATCCAGTTACGTCATACAGCAGCCCTGGAAAGTAAATAAAATATCTTAATTCATTCATATTTTTCATATTTCAAAATAAATTTGTAAATTTTGATTTACAATCTCAGTTTAAAACTTCCTGTATGTTCCTGATCGGTAAGGGAAAATGTGATGACATTTAATCAACGTACCGATTAAACCATAATTAATACTCACTACGACATGGTCAGAATATTCGAATGCATGCCTATCAATGTGGAAGGTCAGATGTCAATTGCTCCAATGGAATACTATTAGTCGGCGTTCTAAGGGACGATTATTTCGTGGGAGCTTATTACGTCGACCGGCGACTTAATTATTCTATGGGGGCTATTTAGATTGATGTCGTGCTGTGCGGTCATTTCATGAAAAGATCCAATGTTTCCATAAAACTCTTTATAAGAAATATTCGCCAGCGTTTTTGAATAGTAGTTGGACAAATATAGGTACTGAGTTAGACAGTATTCAAAGTAGTTTCCTAGGTATGTTGTCATCATGAGTAATTTGCTATAACTGGTAATTCCCACGCTCACTTTTAGGTATAATCTGTTGTGATTATTCAACTCAGATACATATCTCTAGACAACAATGTCGTAATGTTTAGTTCATCAATTACAAGCCATGACTTACCCCCTAAAGGCGGCCCGACTAGATGCCCGATACCCTGAGCCAGCAATATCAATCCATAAGCCACAGTAAAATGTTCCAAGGGTATGAGCTTCATCAGGATCGCTGGCGAGTAAGAGTACGAGCTGGCGAAGGAAAACCCAAAGACAGCGGAGTTAATGCTTAGCAGCCAGTAGTTGTGGATGAAGAAGGGATACGCGGCCACGGACGCTCCGCATAGGATCAGGAAGAACGAGAAGGTCTTCGTCACGTTCAACCACTTTTGGTCACCTGACCAGCCCAGCACCACCTGTGAGTAAGTAAGGCACTTTTATTTGCTGTTCGAATTAATATTCTTTCATTTTACGAGAGCTAGAACACTATTCTAATTGATATTACGTTCTCATTACTGTCCCCAGGTAACGCTAATGAAATTGCATCAGTAAAACATTGATATCCTAGCAAGGGCTTTGGTTGTTCTGGATTGAGTTTACATAACACATAAATTGTCCACTATCGACCAGGTGGTCTAAAAATAAATCATATGCATTTGAATTAATACAACCTTGAACGTGAAAACGACTTACGATTCCGATAGCGCTGGCAATACCGATGATACTGATCATGACCTCCCCTCCCTCCATGTTCTGGGAGGTCATGTAGGACTTGAGGAAGAAGTAGGGCACGATGAACCACACAGAGAGGATCAGCTCCGAAAGGTTGAACATGAAGAAGTGGAACTCCGTGAACATCTCGAAGTTGAAGCTCTTTTTGAGCACTTCGAACAGTCGGTGGTACCATCTCTGGAAAGGTAAATGAAGTGATTTTATTAAAATAATATTCATCTTAATAATATCCTGTAGTAGCTTGGTACTATTACTTATTCTGTGGTACTGTGAACAGGTACCTACTACTATAGTATAATAATGAGTATTCCATACTATTATTATACTTTACTATAGTAGTAGGTACCTGTTCTAGGCTATTACATTGTGGTTTGATAAAAACGGTGATTAGAAATTGTATTAATTTACATTAATCCGAATTAAATATTTATTGGAACATACAAACAACCTTGCAAGTGGGTAGGTAGGGTAATAAGAATATTTATAAATACATTCAACTCATTTTCTTTGCTATCAGTGCTGTCACTAACGTCATTTACAATTTTACAGTTTCATTTATTGCAATTTCTGGGGTATTTATTAAATTTAAAATGTCGGTAATAACGGTAATCGTAATTAGTTTAGTAGTCTGAATAAAATCATTGACTTTTAGAACATGAGTAAATAATTCGGTTTCTTAATCATGTGTTACGAGTACTTAATGAATGTGTTTGATAACAATAAAATTGTGATCAAAACGTTTGCTACAATATGACTCGATTTTCTCACAATCACTGCCATCACTTTTGGATATCTTGTACTCGTAAGTACCTACCTAAGTTACTTATCTAATTGTATATTTTTATGTTGTGTGTACTGAACCGGTAATTTGAATAATTACCGGTATTTAAAACAATGAGCAATCTTACAAATGTGTCATTAATGCCATAATTTACGATGAAGTTGTTCAGGTTAAA